TATATATATATAGAGAGAGAGAGAGAGAGAGAGAGAGAGAGACACACACACATGAAAGAAGAGGTGACATAAATGACATGTCATAAATAGTAATAATACATGTGTAAATTTAAAACAATGCAGTAGCATATCAAAATAAGTGCAGACCTGCACAGAAAACTTTTATCCAGATCCCCTTTATAAAAGTGTATAGCAAATCCAATTAGTGTTAGTGCCTTAGATAATAAAAATGTACTTTTACAAATTCATATTGATCAGTCTTTGATACTACAAAAGAAATCTCAATGTTACCAACAGATTAAAGGAGGCCCTCTTTTACCTGGGCCCGCCCTCATTGCAGGCCCGAACATTACACCACTGCATTGATGTCCTTATAACCATAAATCTCAATAAAATGTGTCAATTTAAAATAAAAGATAGGCAAATCTGCCTGATGCAACAATTTTTCAGGAAGAAATTAACAATGTGGAAATCAAAGTCTTGATGTTATTGTGATTTATAACCCTTTGGACTTTTGGGTTGAGTGTGGCTCAACATGGCAAAATTGGTCATTGTGACAATTTTGAGTCCTAATCAACATATAGTTTTGCTCTTTTCTAAGCTCCCAATTTGTTTGAATTTGGACAGGAAATTCACACCTGTAGAATAAACAGTTGGTAGATATCTATCATGTCCAATGTATAATTTCAGATTGCTATTAGTATTGCTTATTAGTTGCTTAATATGCTGAACTAGTAAGCTGTCAAAAACAAAAGACACCATCTGACAGAAAACATTGAGTGTAAAAACTATGCTAAAGTTTGTTGTTGCATTATTTCAATAGTTTATTAGATTATTTACTGGTTAGAAGTATAGTGATGTAAACCAAAAATGTTTTCATTGTTTCTTAACCAAAATGACTCCTCTTTTGTGACCCAAAGCTTAGAAATCACTAATGTGTTACTAGTGAGTTAAGGTATGGTACCTGTGGAAGAAATGATTGGGAAGCAGGACCCAAAGAATGAGTGAAAAGGGTTAATCCATGTGCAGATTAGAACAAGACCACATTTGCTCTAAAATTTGCAACAATTAGAAGTGTTGGAAGTATCCTTAGAGCCTGACTTTAAATGTTTTTCAATTTTTAAGATGATAGGTTGGGGAAATCCAAACTAACTTTTAATATTTGCTTCAGAAGAGATGCTCCTCCCCTGGGGACACCGCCTTGAAGTAGCACTGTCCGTAAGGGCAGGGAGGCTTGTGTGCTTCAGTGAGGTGGAGGGCTAAGCCGGCGGTAGCATGACTATTTTCTACGCATG